CCACAGTATAGTGCAATATAACTTCTTTTTTTACCTGGCACGAGGCTTTGTGGCCGTAGCAGTGAAATATAGGAATAGTCATAGTTAATCGAGTTAGCATATCATCTTAATTTTCCTTCTAAACAAGTAATTAATAAACAAAGTATATAAGTGTATAAAGGATAAACAGTGTGTCTAACCATAATTACAATAATTAGGATTTAGCCTAATGAGAGTTCTTAGTTTGGAATCAATATAAGCTTTATAGTAAGGAAAAGACTCATTTAAAACTTCTTAATTGTGAGTTATGAGATATCAATACTAAAGTTTCATACTTGTTTGTTCACTGCAAGTCTAAACCAAACCAGTTTTTGTTTAAACTATAGGTGTACATGCTATAAAATATATAAATGTGTGATTGCTTATAAGTACCATGTAGGACTCATAATCTACATTTCCACTTTACAAAACATCTTAATAGAAAAATAAAGAATGCCTAACCTTTAAGTGTGAGAATAGGACACATGCAATATCATACGTAATATTTAGGTGTTGGTCCGTAGCTGCAGAGCTTAACAAATTATGTAGAAGAAATACCGGGTATGCCAACCTCAAGAAAAAATTAAATAACAAGTATTAAGGAACCAATTCTATCAAACTGAATGCTACTAATTATTATAAATGTTGGAATAAATCAAATATTGAGAGGCTAATAAATGCTTAAACTACTGTATACCCCGATAGGGAACATGCAGAACAGATGTTTACATTCCTCTCTTCCTCTTACATAAATTATATAATTTTTATATAATAGGTAAAAAATTATAATATAAATGGTAAAAAATTAGGCACATTTTATTAAACTTATACCATTCATTTAAACGAAACAATTGCTTAAATAGATATGAGTTAAACCCATACACGACTTGAAACTGATTGACTGTGAAGACTGCAAATTTTTTTTGACATGCCCAAATACTGATGACATCACATCAGTATTATATGAAGGCAAATCACTACTATATATGGCAAGGCAACACAACAGTTTCTTGTCACATACATTTTACAGTATGGTGTCTACTTATTGCATGTTTGTAATGTTGGTTTTAACCATTGTAACTAAGGTTCAAGGTTTTTGCTGAATAAAAGAATGTTCATCATGAGGCAAAATCACCGTTAGCAAAAATGGTCCATAGTGAGCTGTCTGATAGTTGAGAGTGAGCTGTCAAATGGTCCAGGGGGAGCTGTTAGCAGCTTTATAAACTTAACTTTAATTGGTTTTAAGAATGTCCATTGCGAGTTAACAAGAGAGTCCTGGCCAGCAACATATAGCCATTGGAATGTAAACAAGAAACCCATTACAATCACTCACTTCATCTCATGGGCTTCAGTGGCAATAAATAATTTAAGAACCCATCGCTATTCAACAAACCAGCAGGATTTATAACCCAGGTTTTTTCCAAAAGCCGGGTCCATGGACCAGTTCTGTTAACGGCCAAAAATGCAGCATGATTGAATTTAATATTATAATAGAGCTTGGAATTTCAATCCATTCTACAGATCATTCAGAAAAAAAACCAAAAAACAAAACAATTACCTCTCTCCATGCTGCAAATTCATGAACTTTATTGGAAATTCGTGCCTGCATACACAGCCGAACACACCTGTAATGTCCATTTTGTCTGAACAAGATTTAGATCGTACTTTATCTCCAGCTTTAAAGCGATGGCACTCCTGAAAATGAAATATTAATTATTATTTTTACAGTAAATCTACTTTATGTATACATTTACATTTTCCTATAAAATAGAAACAACTCAACTCCCTCATTCTCATTTTGAGGCTTAATATTTAATCCATTTATTTATTTATTTATAAGAGAATCATGCATAACTGTAAGAGTAAAACATTCACAAATTAGGATACTTTCTTTCTTTCTATCTTTTCTTTATTAGGCCTTTTTCCACACATACAAACAATAATATTCAAATTACATTTACATAATTAATATAAGTTAAAAATTAAAGAAAAATATATAATGAATAATATATTTAAGAAAGAAATACTACTTGCTTTAATAGAAAATCATGTGAAATATTAATATTCTATTTCATAATTATAAGTCATAACAAGGAAACACAAAATGTGTGTGGATGAAGGTAAGTTAAGTTCTGAAAACAATAAAAGTGATATGGGTCAGATGAACATAAAATAAAATAACTTGATATGATTAAAATTTATAAAATAAGCTTTAATAGATGAAAATGTTAAAAAAAACCCAAGAAAATAAAGCAATAAGGTACAAGTCTATTTAATTCAATTCAAAAATAATATTTATTTCCTTTGAAACAATAATTACAGTCTTCTTTGAAATGTAGCAAATAAATAAATATTGAAGGAGGCACAATATATGATTTTAAACAATAATATGACTGTTAGTAATATAAAACATATATGCATACCTTTGAACTTGAGCAGTCATTGTAATGTCCAACAAATTCCTGTACTTTACCATCTGCCACAAAATACCTATTTTCATGTTTTGGAGGCTCTAAACTATGACCAGAATTTTTTTTTCTGACTAATCCAAAATTTGCATCTAAAGATACAAATTTGGTACCCCCATCCTAAAATCGTAAGAAAGAATTATATTTTATAAGATTTAAATGATGTAATTATTGCATTTACATTTAGTAATAATATAAGGTTATTTTTATTTTTATTTTGAAAGGCCCAGAGTTTTGAGTGCAAGAAATGCAGAGAGACTATTAAATTGAGTGATGGAGGATTTCAAGAAGGTTTATAGGTTTTGTTATCTTTTGGAACACAATCAACTGAAGAAGTGGAACATGGGAGTGTCACCATGGTCAGTAACCCTTTGTGATAGAGAAAATGCTGATATAAATAAATGATGATGATTTAGCATTGTTTTTGCAAATTATTTATAAAAGTGGTCACACTGTCACCAAAAGGACATGCAGCCTAATGTTATCAAACTGTAATGTTAAACCTCTCAGAACAGAAGACACATTGCGGAATAATCATGAGCAATATGCAGCAAATGTTGAAGATTGGCATTTATAATTTATATTTTTACGGTGTCATGATAAAGTAAATGTAATTTTATTGAGTAATTGTGCCAATCATTACGGTATACCATACCTATTATTAGAAAATTAAATGACATTTACCTTAGGACAAGCAGGACACACTGTACCATCATCAGAAATATTCCTCATCTTATAATAGGAATGGCGAAATTCAAAAACGGTTTCTTTTCTGATAAGCTCTTTCAACTGATTGACCTGAGAGTTAAATAAAAGTTTTAATTGCACAGTTATTTTGCAACCATAATATTTTCATATTTTCACTGCAATAACCAGTGTTTGTTGAGTGTCAGTGACATTATAAACAATCATCAAAGCTAACAGCAAAAATAATAACAGGTGTTTGTGATATAAAGCAAGCATTGATGTATACATTTTCCAGAAGTTTAAAAGAAAAAATTCAGTTAGCGTAGGACCTGTTTCTTTTACCTGTTTTATTTTCAAAATTTTATTCATTAAAAACCAACAGTGAAAACTACTAACACTTTTATAAACAATATAAAACACAACTTTAAATATACTAATATCATCAGGGCTGGAAAAGTTTGAATTGGCATTTGGAGGCATTAAAAAATGTCCCTGAGGCATTTTTTTGGGGGGATGGGTGAAATTCTAAAAAATACTGTAAACTGTTGAGTTATAGGCGTAGAGACATTTTGTGTAAAAAAGGTCACCTACTAGGTCAACAAAATGCATTATATTGTTGTCCTTAATTTTGCACTGACAGGTTAAAATATTTGGAGGGAATTTTAAGATAAATTATCAGAGTAATTATTTGAAAAAATGACAAGTAGGTAACGGAAACATGGCCAAATGCACTTTTTTTTAAAGAACCAGTACCAAGCACAATCTATGTCTATAACTGAAATATATTTGAAGACAAAATTCCAACATTTAAACACCTTTAAATACCCCCCAAAAATAATAATTTTTATTATTTTTTTTCTGATGTTCATCGATTGATTAATCAATGTCTTGTTTAAAAATGTCTCATACCTCAAATGGTTGAAGGTCATTCTTCAAGGTTAATGCTTCACAAAACCCTTTCGTAGAAACTTGACATTCTAGTAGGAGAACCTCCATCCATTTCAATAATTCAATAGAAAATGCTACTTTAACACATTTTGCTGTCGCTGGCCAAAGGTTCAGTTTGATAATTGTTGTTACCTCCTCTTCACACGAACAGAATTTAATGTTTAAGTGATGACATCTGCCTAAAAATACAATAGAAAATCTTGTTTATAGGAAATTTGTAAAAAATTGTGCAGCAATACTATTAGAATTAAAATAATCAATAAGAAAACCATAAATTGCTTAAATTACAATGAAGATTAGATTCTTATACTATATTGAAAACTAAAGAAATAGTCACTATTTAAAAACTTGCAATACTTAAACCTCAGTGTAAGGTTGAATATTATGTTGGTTTTTTTTTTAATTGCAAAATAAACTTAAATGGTATCATAATTGTAGTTATTACAGTAAGTATATTGCCATCTATGGCAATACATCATCTAGTCGTAATGGTAAGACATCTGTAACTTTTTTTTATAAACAAGAATAACATACCTTTGTCATCAAATGCATTTACAATTCGCCAAACACTAACGCCACATTCTGATGAATGACCAGTGTTCACAGCTTTAATCCCTGATGAGTAGGGGAGAAATGTGTTGCACTAAATTTTAAAAGAAAAGTAATAGCTGTTTAAACATTTAAAGTAAATGCATGCTACATGAACATTGGTGGCATAGAATCATGCTTCTGACATACAATGTTCATATTGCTGGGTACTTTTGATTTATAATGCTTACGTATCACTTGTATCACTCTTTTATAACTACAGTAGCTGTCCCATTAAAAAAATGCAATGATTAATCTTGGTCCACTACTTAGCTAATATCATTTGCACGATCATCCGTCAAATATTGGCCGAAAACTCTGTAAGTTTAAATTTTCAGAGCTAACTGTAAGTTTAAAATTTGCCGAAAATGTAGATATTGTTTTGATCATGCAAACAAATTTACCATGCAGGAAATGAACCCAGGAACATAGGATTTCATAGCAAGCATCATCATCACCATTTAACTCTGGACTCCAAAATGATTGTGTCTAGTCAAACTGCAGTACACAGTTATTGTGCTGTGTACTTACCGTCCATACTTCTGGAAAATGTAAAACATTATGTTGATGAATAGTTGCCATACATGTATGGCAATACACAACAGTAGGACCACAGTCTAGGCACCTGATAAACTCTGTATTCAAAACAGCATTGCAGTTTTTACAGTTTTTTGAATGTGGAGCCCAGTTACCAAGAAGAGCATGGTCAATGGTAGTTGTAGCATCCATCCAGTCATTTAGTTCAGATTGCTTTCTTTCATAATGGCGACTTGATCTTGCTGGTTGTGGCTCGACTTCAACATCTTTAATTGGTTGTTCAGCATCGTTTATAATTACAGGAGGAATACATGCGCTTGTTTGGCCAGTGTTGCCAGACCCATACAGGAGTACAC